GCCCTCGTGTAGCTTTGCGCGAAATTAAAAAAACAACAAACAAACTTAGAGGGGTTCAAAACATGTAAATAGTTTTGCGGCAGAAATTTGTGGATAAAGTTATAATAGTTTCGTTTTTCACTTTCATCTACAAGATCTGTCTGGTTTATATATCATATTGTAAACCTTTTTCTCATTATTTTTATTCTTACATTTTATTTCAGTAAGTTATACAATTTAAATTCCATTGACAAAACTATTTTTGTTTATTGCAAAACACACCTAAAACTGCTAAGAAATGTGAAAAAAACCTCACAGTCAACATTGTCTACCAAGAGAAATTCACACCGTGTGTTGTATTTGACCCTGGAGCAGGCCATATATCAGGGGGAATCTTATATTCATGAACTTGACGAATAAAAAACAGACCAATGCTATATTGAATATTTGTTTCGTGAAAAGAAAGTGAAACGTGTAAAAAATTCAAATAAATTTCGTAAATCGAATCAGAAATTCTAGTGTAAACAAAAAAGGTGATTTTGTTATTCTTTAAAAGGTTTATGATAAAGACCAAATCTGAATGTTTTGATTTTCCAGTTCTTACGATTATAACATGGTTATTTTTTCACCAGGTGTTTGTTTGATGACATATAGTAAGTTTATTTGTGGCCGAGTTGTTTTAAATAATTCCTTTCTTTTTTTTTTAGCTTCCTTTACCGATTAACAAAGTCCGTTTGTTAGGTCCAGGTGCCATAATAAAAACAGAGAATATGAGTAATAATATTACAAGAATGTTGACAAACAAATTTAAAAAACTTTAATTTTCTTAAATTTCAGTAATTTGCTGGTTATTTGATGCCTCAGAGTTTTAACAACCACGTGTTAACCACCGGGACAATGAATAACAACGTTATCAGACTAAATGGTTACATCAAAACATCCAAAGAAAGGGAAATCCATAACAGTGACGTCAGATTGTTGTCGTCTACACAATACCTGGAAAACTTGATGTAGAACATGTATATATTGAAAAAAATAAAAACTTGAAACAGATATAAATATTTCTCTCATGTACTTAGTAATATATTTTTGAAAATGTAGCCTAGTTATTCTTTTTTTTTCGAAGAAAAAGAAACTTTAATCATGACTTATCGAGAGTAAGTCATTCTGAACTTGCAGTGTACTGATTCCAGACACTCTATTGCGTTTCCATGAGCGTAAAATATTTGCAAGTAATAAAACATCTACAAACAAGGTACTAAAGCTTGAAGCTACAGTTAACAGATCTAGAGTCGAAACTGACTTCGTTAGCATATACGGTAACAATTTGAAATTCAATAAACTTGATTTTTCGGGAGAAAATCGAAACTGAAATATTCTGACCTTCAGGAGACCTAAGGATGTTTCTTTTTGAAAATATTTTAGTAACATAGAAAAATAAACCAGGTGCAAGTAATTATTTATATTGTTTAAATACTATATATATATATATATATATGTATGAGCTAAATAGATTTTAATATTAGTGTATGACAAATAATTAAAATACTAGCGTTAGGTTTACGGACGTACGGTGTACGTAGTACTAATTACTAA